AATCAAACAAACATTCGTAACAAACGTTCGAAACATTTGTAACAAATGGACCCTAAGTATTTCAATAGCATTTACTACAAGATTTACAATAAATGTTTTATAACATATTTTATAATAATGTTTATAATCTATATAATCTAAAACTACAAAAATATTTAAAATAAATATTTATAAATATTTGGTAAATATTTTATAAATATTGTGCACTGTCTAGGAAATATTTATCTACTTTCTTTATGATTCAGCAAACACAAATATTATTGCTATGTAACATATATATAAATTAATATAGGCTGCTGGAAAAGTTTCTGCAATCTAGTACTTCCAGTGGCGCCAACGTTCTGTTACTATCATATCTGTAAAATTAGACGTTTTTAACCTATAATTCAATTGACAGTTTGTACCCAAGCCAACTAGTTTTGTTTGTATAGTATTTTAAAAGAAGTTATTTTGTAAGAAAATGGAAATTTCGCGTGAAAATTTTCGGGCAATGATTTTTTACGATTACAAAATGTAATCTAACTCCGAAACAATGCATCGATCGACTTCATTTGGCTTTTGAGGATGAAGCACCATCCAATAAGACTGTTTATAATTGGTTTGTCGAATTCCAGCGTGGACGTACCTTTCTTAGTGATGAATTCCGTGAAGGTCGTCCATCCACATCTGTTGTTGCCATTAATGTCGATGCTGTGCGTGAAATGATTGAGCGAGACCGGCATATAACATACCGCGAGATTCAAGCATCCTTAGACATTGACATGAAAGCAATACATACGATTTTGCATGATCACTTGAACGTACGGAAACTTTGCAGTCGTTGAATCCCACACAATTTGACCGAAGCTCAAAAACAGGTTCGTGTTAAATGGAGCAAAGAAATGCTCCAGAAATTCAACCGAGATCGATCAAATTTGATCTACAACATCGTTACTGGGGACGAAACATGGATCTATTCGTATGAGCTCGAAAGTAAACAACAATCCATTGTTTGGGTAGTCATAAATGAATTGCGTAGAACAAACCGAAATCGTCGCATTATCCTTCATCATGACAACGCTAGCTGTCACACAGCACGTCAAACCGTTGATTTTTTTATCCAGTAATAATGTCGAATTGATGACTCATTGTCCGTATTCATCTGATTTATCACCTAATGACTTCTTTTTGTTCCCAAACATTAAAAATAAGATGCGTAGTGAACAATTTGAGTCGCCTGAAGCAGCTGTTAAAACATTTCGTACACTGATATCTGAGGTTACAGCTTAGAGTGGAAAAAATGCTTCGAAAATTAGTTCGAGCGTATGCAAAAATGTATCGATCTTAAAGGCGAATACTTCGAAAAACAATAAAGCTATTTACCGAATTTTACATGTTTTTTTCATATTGTTTGCAGAAACTTTTCCAGCAGCCTACATACATTATTCACATCTACGATATGTAGTATTATATTCATGGTTTGCTAGGATTTTTACTAATCTAGATAAACTTTAATCTCGGTTTAATTTATTGTAATTGCTTTTTTCTACTTCTTAGAACAAGAAAAAAATAAAAAATGAATACAATTGAAATTAATATGTTAATCTACATTGACAGGAATGAATTACATAAGTTGATTATCTTTCTCAGTAATCTTGGTATGTATTGTTTAATCATTCTCGATTATCATTATTACTTAATTCCCAAGAGGTACGCATTATGTTTCTTCATTAATGATACATGTACACCTGTCGGTATGTTACAAACTGAGTGAACTAGTTGGGGAGAAAGAATGCAAGTTTTAAAATATCGATAGACCGGTTTCCTGTCCCTTTCATATCCGCGACATGTTAGTCGAGTTAAAATATTCCGACAGCTGTGACAGGTTTTCCGACACGTTTCCTTAAACGAGCGCATTCGTTGATTTAATGCTAAATATTCAAGTTAATTAATCGCATATATTGTAGTTGAAGCATATAATGATGTAAGAAGACAAGATGTATCGTTCTTGAGGATGCGCAATAGGAGAATATATTTGGAGCCAAAATTTGATTCCAATATGCCAGCGCTATTATATGCAGGAAAGTGCATAGAGGTCAAAATTTGATTGGTTGTTTCCAGTATTGCTATCGCTATTATGTGCGCAATATGAGACATCTTGTATGATTACATTATGGTTGAAGCTACATTGAAATCGTAATGCGCGTATTGGAATAATAAGAGAGAGATATATCGACCAATCGCGAGTCGAGAAGCAACGAGTGCCGCGTTACGCCATTGAAATCTCGCGTATCGTGCACGCGATTGGTCAATTCTTTTTCTTGCACTTTAACTTTAAAAGGAGTAGGTCACAGTGGAGTAGGTCAGTTTTCTCTTACTCTTTATAAAGACTTGTCCCCTTCCTCTTGATCATCATGAGTCTCTTTTTTCTCTTCTTCATTATTTTATTCTTTTTCCGGTCTTCTGGTACTTCATTTTGGCAGAGACGAAAATTCGCAAAAGAATAAATAAGGTATACTGTATGTATAATATCGGGACATAAGACGTCTCAATTTTGGATATTGTCTGGATAATTTTTCTCTATTTCTCCTCGAGCTTAAAAGCCTCAATTCTATGAATTTGTACTTGACTTTAGCTTATTTCCCTTAAATAAATTCTTGACTACGCTCATGGATCTAACCGGGTCTAACCATTAATTTACACAATCTTCTGCACCGATGCTCACGAAATTCTTGTTAACTTTAATTATACAAAAAGAAATAAAAAGGTGCATACTTTCGCTCGTTATGCCAAAACATCTCATCCACAGATTATCGTTCGCTTTAACGAAGAACGTAGTACACAGCTATTGAAGTAAACATAGAATGAGTCATAGACTATACGCGTCATTATATTAAATATACATCTCTCTATCTGTCTTCTCTATATCAGATAAACAAATTTAATGAGATAATGAAATATATGACGCAGTTTAGATATTTTTAATATTTTTGATATCTCAAAGTGCATCTTGTGTATTCATAAATATTTAATGTATCTTAATTATTCACAAATAAAATAACTATTTACTCGATTTTGAAATTTTTTTTTCGGGATTAATTAATTCTTAATTAATTAATTATTTAGATATAACGATGTAAAGATGAATTCCTATAAACATAAAAAAAATAGAAAATAATTTATTTATTTCTAAAACGCGTTTATTTTTGTTATTTCTAAAAATATGCGACACGTATGAAAAAGATTTCCAAATTCAATCCTTTATTCTATCATAAAATAAGATCAATAAGGATAATCCTATTTATTATTAACAGAAGAATATTTTACTTTTAAATAGAAAATTTTTAAATTTAGAATAAATAATAATCTTGGATATCGATTCCAAATTGGTGTCAGCACAAGGCTTACAACAACATTGTTGCAATATTTGCAATATACAAGGTGTCTCGAAATTCGCGAATCAAAATACCATAGCAAGGAAGTTTTTAAAAAATTGAGTAAAAAGTTATGTATACATTTTTATTTTAAGTAATAGTTTTTTTCAGATATAAGAGTTTGAAAGTTTTAGTAGCTAATTACAAAGATTATATACGTTTAAACGGTCACCTGTCCAATCGCGCGTACAATAGTATCAGTAAGTGCATACTTCAGCGTTTAAATGCATCTGTAATTGGCTACATTTAAACACTTATTTTTTCACATTATCGCTTAAAATAAAAATAAACAAATAACTTCTTACTTAATTTTTTGAAAAAAAATTTTTTATTGTATTTTGATTTGCAAATTTCAGAACATTCTGTATATTGCTGAAATGATCTGTACTATATAGATTGTGTTATAACATCAGATAAAGAATTATCAAATAAACGTAAAAATATATATAAACTTAAATTTAATAATAATAAAAGATAAAAAGAGCTAAGAGTCTTAAATTTACTTAAATTCATATTTGTTACTCTTGTTTTAATGCAATAAAAATTGATCTTATATTAATTATTAATTCAAGAGAGGAATTAATTATTAATTCAAAAGAATAATTGATTTGATGTTAATATTATTATTTTTGTATACTGCATTAGGTTGCGATAAGATTAATACGTCAAGGATATTTTTTATGTCGTTATCAGAAAAAATTTCTGATAACGAAACAAAAAGTACTCTTAACGTGTTAGGAGGGGACAGCTTATGGGTAGACGAAGAGTTTGTAGATACAAATAATACTATTCTAATCTATTGGATAATATTATTCTAATCTATTGGACCTTGGCGTTTTAATCAAGGTAATACACACAGTAGCACTAATTGATAAGAGAAATATTTCCGTCTAGAATGGAAATGTTTTTGGAGAATTAGATTATAATTTTAGAGATGATACTTATTTTTCTCCTCACACACACACACACGATAAACGATTTTTTATTATGAAAACAAACAGAAAATAGACAATATAACACCGAGAATTTTGAAATCAATTTTGATCATTAAATCGTGATTTTATCGCCTGCAAATACATTGCTAGTGTTTTCTCCTTCAAATCGGAGCGTGCAATGCTCCGCCTCGGCACACAACAAATACAAATAGGGTCGGCAACTATGGTGTGGAAATCGTGGAGCACGCCACACCCAAAATTTTGCTTAATATGAAAATCCACACCAAAGGAATTTAGGAATTGGATTAAAAATTGTGAACTTTTTAAAATGTACGCGAATGCCAAGCGATATTTGTGATAAGTACAACTGCGTGCATAGCAGAGATTCAACTTTTAGGCACGTGGATTCAATGTTTATATTGTCCGTATGCCGTTATCTGTAAGAATTATATCGAGCATTCCTCTCTTACAATTGAATGAGAGAGGAATTAACACTCAAATGTGATTAATCAATTCTTACAAATTACCACATACAGTTATGGCTAATAGAAATGATCCTTTACCGACTGTTAGACAGATTGTCGCAATTCGCAATTGTAAAAAAGGGAACAAATATTAGGTGTACAACTTTGCCGTTTTCCTATAGATGGCTTTAGCGGTAAGTGGTGGTCGAAATAAATAGATCATAGATGTCATACAATAAACTTGGGCATCTGTCAACATAACCCCATAGAAACATTAGTCGATTTGTATCATAAAGTTATTCTCGATTGAAAATGTCAGTTTACGAGCCAAATTCTCGTCATTTGCGGGAGGTTTTAATTTTCTGCTTCAATATGAAGAAATCTGCGGCTGAGGCTCATCGAATGCTCTCAAATACTTATGGTGAGGCCGCTATTAGTGAAAAAATTGGATCGATTCGTGGATAGCCTCAAAAGATGACCAGTTTTTTCGACGCGGGATTCGTACGCTACCCGAAAGATGGGAGAAAGTAGTGGCCAGCGATGGACAATACTTTGAATCATAAATGTATTCTCGAATTTCGGAAAAAAAACGGCGGAAGCAAAGTTGTACACCTAATACATAAATAAAAAGTAAAAAAGATCAACATTTTGTACTCCCCTTTCCACTCTCTTTCTTTCGTTAGTTAACATTTCTACACCTACGGGCAAAATAAGTTGCCGACTCTGAATATAAATTATGATACAAGCACCAGTTGTACAATCTTTGTCGGTATGTGCGTGATGAGATAATCTACTTTACGAAACGTTCTAAATTAAACTAAGAAACATATTGATTCTGCGTTCTTTAGCATAAAAGCCTCTTTTGTTTATCTATATCCACAAGACTAGCCAGATTGACTTTCATTCGAAAGCAAGTGTTATAAAAGAAGAAGAAGGTTGCGAATACATGACTACATAGTTTGAGGGCCAAATCAGAACAATGGATAACCTGAAAAATAAGTGTATTATGTTCAAAAATATAAAAAGATTAATCGCATTAAAATCTGAATCTAAAGTGCATTATGCGCAGCGTGCTAATTCATCTCAGGACATAAATGCAGAGTGTAAACAATTACATGATACATTTGATAAATCTGTAAGTTTTGTCTCACCTGTCTAAGTATTGTATATTCTTATTTTTAATAGATATTTCTGACTATCAATTAGGATTGTAGTACTTATGCTATTAAATTTTTAAGTAATTCAAAATAATAATACTCTCGAAATTCTCAGGCTTGTAACTGGTAACTTGATAGAAGCTCTGGACAAGTCATTCAAGAAAATCTGTTTGCGTTTTTTTACATCGAAATTAATTAAATTATTCTAATTCTTTCCTTTAACTTCTTTATAGATTTTCAGCATATCTCTTAAAAAAAAAATATATATATATATATATAATAAACTTACAAATAAATATAAACTTCATTTAACATTCATTATCTTACACGTGTTTTTTCTTATGCCTCTGATACAGATTCCCACCGACCTTGTGATAAAAGTCGGAGTGCGATCTATCTATGTCAATAAGTTTGTTTTACAAAACTGTTCTTCATATTTCAAAAAGGTAGATCGATTTATAACGTCCGAAGATGGTCAAGAGTGAGTATTGTGAAAATATATAAATGTTATTCTTATTAAGAATATTTTATATTTGATTCGTATGTTTCTCCTTACAGCGTTATCAGGCTAGATCAGTTTTCGTATGTCACGGTTTACGCCTATTTAAAATATATATATACCGGTGACATTAATCTTGTATCTTTGGACAAGAAATTTGGTAAATTTCAGTTAAATACAATTATATATATTGTTGTTTAAAGTTTACGACTAAAATCATTTCATTGCAGATCTCTTAATAATGGCTGAGAAGTTCAAAGAAATTTTTTTGATAAACAGTTGCTATAAGAAAATAAAGGAAGAAATAACTAAAACAAATATAATCTCTGTTTATAGAACAGCGCAAACATATAATAACAAGGTAATTGGTAGTCTCTTGAATTTTCTTTTTTTTTTCTTATTACTTTCTATCTTTTCTGGAAGAAAGTATCATGATCTATATTTTATAATAAAATTGATATATTAGTACTTAGTTCGATTGCAATTTGTTTTTATTTTTGTTTTTAATGTCGAATATTTTTTCAAATTTTTTGTCATTCATGAGTTAGGAGGATAGCAAGATTGGAGATTAGTTCCGAAAATATCGTTGAACAATTTTTCTATTTTTAATATTGCTTTAGAATTCATTAACTGCAGAAATGTATCTTTATTCCTTATTTATTTATATCCTTAATACAAATGAAGGCCGAAATTTTTAAAAATATGTATTCTCCCCGCATAATTTTCAGATAGTGCAGGAATATTGCTTTGAATTCTTCATAGAAAATACTACACATGTCATCAATACAGATAGTTTTAAAGAATTGGATGAATATACGAGAAGCACTTTTATAAATAAAGCGAAAGAAGTTTATGGTTATTACAAGATATGATTCTATTTGTTTGAAGAAAGTAAAATGCATTTTGATAGAAGTAATCACATCAAACTTTAATATTAATATTAATTAATATTTATATTAATATTACTATTTCTATATTTTTTAATATTAATTTCTACATAAGTAAAACAAAATTATTACGATACTATTTTATAGTAAAAAGTTTTTTTTTGACACTATACTAGTAATTACTAACAATGTAACTGACAAAAATTTTAATTGAAACTGTGAATTCAAATAAAAACTTTCTCATTAAAAAATGATTGATCGTGCACTGCTACAATTAATTTTCATATGATATGTATATTGATATCGATACATCCTCACATATTTCCATGCAGGAGTGGCAAGTAAGGAAAGTCCTTTCATCAATATATGGAATCGAGACATCATAAAGAGACTCACGGCAGATAATTGCTCAAAACATAAGAACAGATAGAGCATGTAGGAGAGATAATCTATGTTCTTTCTTTCCCTTTCTTTCTTCCTCGTATTTTTCCTTTCGTGCAAGAATAAACACACGACCATTGTATGATGTTGTTCAATATTCTTATATTAATTTAATTATAAATCAATTTTTCATGCTCTCCTGTCATTCTAGTGACACAATGATCTGCGACATCCCCTGGTTCCTTCTAGTTCCCAGAGCTCCCTCAGATAGAATACATCAAGTCATGAAATTGCAGGCCTGTTCTTTTTCCATATTCTAGGATTGAACTTGCACAGTTCATCTCTCTTCTTTTTTTCACATTAGAGAGAAAAAGATAAAAGATGAAGTGTGCGAGAAGTTCAGTTCTGGGATATGGAAAAAGAACAGGTCTATCTTAAGAGCTACTTGGGCAATCTCCTGCAAATTAGAAAACGACGGCGTTTTACTAACACATCGTCTTTATTAGTCCTCGCACAGGATTTTACATATCATCTAACGAGTCTTGCGAACTATCGCACGTGGAGTAACATCGATTATAATTAATTCTCTGGAGTTATACAATATATGTATATAAAAGAAAAAACGCGATTAATGTCGCGAGGACGCGGTTAGCGATACTGTAAAATTAGTCATCAAAACATCATAAAAAAAGAAAGAATAAAACGGTTTAGACAAACAACACGATAAATGTGTACATTTCGCGCGGCGAACTCGATATTTCGCGTGTTATTAGTCTCTTTTTCGTGGCACCATGAAGAAAAGGCCACTTCTACGTCCCTAATCTTTCCGGATCAATCTGACTCCTTGAGATTCACAAAAAGAGAAAAGACTGAAATAAATAATTCAGCTGTCACACACGTAACTATTTACTTTCAGAATTATTTATACTTTACGTATTCCGGAAAATTCTCGGTGTACTCCTCTACGTTAGAAATATCGTAACGATTACGACTGACTACGTGACGTATGGGAGGGTAACAATCTTTAATTCTATGTCAATTTCCTTAGGGGAATTAAAGAGAAACACTTCATGCCAATCATTCAAGCTTTATAATTGAAAAAATGTCCGTCTTTCATTATAATTTCTTCAAAAAAAAATTAAACGAGAGTTGAAACTCAAGTCTTTCAACAATCGGAGTGGAATTTATAGAAAAATATATATAAATTTATAGTAATATCTCAATTCTTCTTACTCGATTCCGAAAAATTACAACGAAAATGTAAGGCATTTAAGATAAGATTTTCTTTAATTTAATATTCAATTAATAAAACTTTATTCGATATTTTTCTTGCACTTCTAGATTCTTTTTCCCATAAAGAATTGACATTTAATTAAGGCAAATCCTACATATGTATATATATATATATATATGTATTTATATATATTTTTACGAAATAATACGCGAGTCACATAATCGTGCAGTTATCATTATCGAGCTAACGTTATAACACGGAGTAAACTTATTTCTACTCGGGTTGGGCAGTACTTTATACATTTATACAATTTCCTATAAACACTTTCGAGTCTCCTTAGTTGCGCAAAAATATACTCTAACGATTAAAACAATTACATTATAGGATATAAAGTTCATAGGTAAATGCAAATTCGTCAAATTTCGCTACGTAAAATATCTTTAGTATACATTACAGATTGCACTGGTAAATAGTATAAAAAAAATAGTGTAAAACTTTCGAGATTTGTTTCTAGCCAAAGAAACAATGTTTTTTTTTCCATGTATAGCAAACAGTACGAGATATAATTTAATATATGCGATATATATTATGAATTAAACCAACGATGAAAAATAAATAAAAAATTTATATACGATCTATTTCGCTTCATCTCGGAATTACGACTACTTTTGCATCTCAAACTATTACAACTGCCTCGAAATAGTTACGAATGCTCAGTTTCGTATCTGCATAATTTTGCTGACTAAGAACGTTCGTAGCATTTTATGAGTCATTTC